TGCAGCTCTACAGAAAGGCTTAGTTGAGCTACTGTTCACTGATGCAGCCAAGGTTCAGTGCTCAATTCGGCTGGGAAGAAGCACGTGGCAGCGCTTGGCTAGCTGCCTGCGCAAGTTTAGCGCTCATGAGACTTCGGGCTAGTTTTGGACATGCCTGGAACTGCTCCACGCAGTTTTCCTGGCCAATCTCACGAGTATCGGGTAGGAGCTTTTGCAGTAGAATTTCTCACGGCCACACAGGGCATAGCCACATATACCATCATCAATCACCAAAAAAGTTTTTGGGGAGGCTCTTTGTGGCAGGTCTGCTAAGCTCGATCGGGGTCGAATGGAATGAAAAAGATTCTTGCGCTTCGTTTGGGAGGTGTCTTTCAATTGCGACCATAGTCACCCCTTGTATGTTCTTGGCAGTGTGTGTGCACAAGAATGCAGCATACATGTAGTATGGTCCCCTTTGCTTATGATGTCTTGAAAGTAGGACCATGCATAGGAGGAAAGTTTACAGGATAACTTGAACACTGCAGGCGCAAAAGCCATTTCTCTTCCGTTTTGGTTGGGAAAAAGGGAACCATGCACAAAAGAATCTACAGTAAAGAATGCTATCATTATGGGGTGCATCAGAGTGCATCATGTAAATCGAAATGGAATCTATGTAGTAAATTTAGATAACATTTCGGGGCTCCATTTTCTTGAAACCTTCGATCTATTATTTTCGTGGTCCAATGTTCTTTATGCTGCTTGGAGGTACTTCGATCAGAATGCCTCCTGGTGTTCTGGCGGGCCTTGGATTTCATCCTGATTCACCTCCACCTCGCATCCCACGACTTCAAGGCATCGTTGGAGCTGGGGGGAGGCTTCTTGATGGAATCCCCTGAATATTGCTAGTTCAAGCATTTCATGAGCTGATGCAAAAACAATCCATATATAGCTGTGCAGCTCTGAATCGGGGGAAGTGCCACCTACTGCTGTTGTAGAGCGCCATGGCTCGCTACAGCTTTGCCAAATTGGGATGCTCCTTGTTCGACATTGGGGCACCAAAGGCGATGCACCAAACATGCATTCATGTTTCAAGTCAGTTTGCCATGCCTGCCCTATAGTTCCCTAATTCACCACACTCCAGCCCTTTGCTGCGCAGATGTTCATACTGATCATACTATTGCTGTTCTGGAATACAAATGTGGAGCTCAATCAGGCCATTTGATTTTCAATTATCTTGTGCACCGTTTGGGATCAACAGCGCTATATAGATATAGCGCCCCACCTGATTCAGGCCTATACCTTTGTAGAACACTATGCAGGAACTGGTCGACTGACTGAAGCTGTTCGGCGCGAGTGCGGTCCTAGCGCAAAGCTGGACTGTGAGTACAGCAGGGGCCACGATGTGTTGACTTCCGGTGGGTTCGCGTGCATAGCTTAGTCATTGTTTCATTCATTGTCCCCAAACATAAAAAAAGAAACATGCCATGGGTGCACATTGAGGACGCACATTGTGTCTGTACTCCGTGGGCATGGAGCAGGCTTTGTAAACTGGCAAGGCATCAAATGCTCCACATGGGTGGCAATCAGCCGCGCTACAACTCTGAGATCTTTCTTGTGGCCGCAAGGTCGACAGGACTTGGAGTGTGTGGCGCAGGGAAACTGTATGGCTGCCAGAGCAGCTCTCATTTGCTGCCTGGTGACAGTCTTGGGGGGGGTTTGGGTTGTCGAACAGCCCTCAACATCACTGCTTTTCCGGCATCCCCGCCTTCAGTGGCTGTGCAAGCTGATGCCCGTTACTTCCTTAGATAATGTCAGCGGCATACTTGCGTGGCAATGTATACAGGACCATATAGGTAGGCGAAGCTTGACAAGCCTTGCCCAGGTATACCGGTGCAATTTTTGGATGTTGTTCTTCAAGTCGCCCAGCCCGAAGAGAACTTCATTGTGGTCATCCTCCAGTCAGATTAAACGATTTTGGCTTGGGAAACTCACGAAAAAGATCCGGGAGGACCACAAAAAGCAGAACCCAGATTTTGCTACAGTCATCAAGTATGTAGACAAAGCAGGGCGCAAAAGATATCATGGCTCTAAGCAGCTACGTTCTACCCAGACCCTCGACAGTTTTAAAACAGAGTGAAAGTATCAACCATGGGTCATGGTGAATGCTTTAAAGGGGTCTACTTGGCGGCTCAGGAGCTACACCCGGGAATTTGCCAAGAAGATGGCAGAGATCCACCCCGATATGATTCGTGGAAACAAGCGAATCTCAGAGCTAAGCGAGTCAGATGCAGCCAAGGAGCTGCAGCGCTTTTGGAAGGGTACTGATTTTGGAGATACCTGGGAAGACGCCAGGCTAGCTGATGTAGCCCGTTATCTAATTGGTGCCAAGGGCCTTGAAGTGCCCCAGCAGTTTGCTTGGATGATCCCTTCACACTTGTGACTTCAACAGGGGCGTTGTCGGCAGGTATATAAACATGGCAAGCCATGCGCAGTTGCCTTTTTGATTTTGCAAACCATAACTTGACAAACATTGTGAAGATGCATGGGTCTTTTGGCCTGTTAGAGTTCATACCATAGAGGTCATGCAGGTCATGCATGGAAGACGTGCTAAATACACCTTTGCCTCCAACAGCTTTTGAACCGTGGGCCGTGCTTCATCCCTATTCTTGCTGGCAGGCAGGGCTGGAAGAGACGCCGACCATGGAGAGTACAGTATACTATATATATCCCCAAAAGCGTGGATGTTTACTCAAGCAGCCATGTATAATGGATGCCAATTGCCATGCGACCATTTGTTTCTGGCATTGGCCCGGGTATTGATCATAGCCTATAGATGGGGGTTGACCTACGAAATTAATGTTCCCTCGAAACGATGAGCCATGGGAAGATAGGTTCGAACTAGTTCGTGGCAGCTGCGAACCAGTTCGTGGCAGCTGCGAACATGTTCGAGCAAATTTGTTCAAATTTGATGTTTTCGAAACATCCACTTTTACCTGAGCAACGCTCACTTTCACCTGAGCAACATCCACTTTCACCCAATCCAACGACTGCTTTTTTTTCAAGCAGTTTTTGTGGCTTCGAGACGGGTTCGGGCCCCTTTCGAACCAGTTCGCAGCGGTTTCACGGGCCCTATGAAATGTTTCCGTGGCCAACGCCATGTTCATCCTGCTCCATGAGCTGTCGATCATATGGGGTTACATTGGGTGAAACAAAGACTCCTTAAAAAGAACATGGCCATGGTCAACCAAACAACCTCCCCAAACAGCCATTTTATGTAAAGGATTTCAAGCGCCATGCATATCCTGCGTGGAACCCCAAACGACCAGAATAGATGTTTCCCCAAACAGCCATGGCCTATGTAAAGGATCAATTGCCATATTGGAACACCCTTTTGTTTCTGGTGGTTGTGGATTTGCAGGGGATTTCATTCTGCTTGTTTGGGTTTCCGGGCTATTTGTGCTTTGGGTTTACCCAGCTCCGCACATTGAGCTAGGTTCTTCTTTTTCGGAGGGGTATCGAGGGGACCTCTTAGTCCATGGTACCATCCTTGTAAGCCATCGCGCGCAAGCTGCCGAAGGTGATCGAATGAGCGCTCCTCAGCCGGTGCTCCGGAATGGCTGGTCGGCTTCTACGTTGCTGTCTGGCATCCATGCCATGGATGCTGATGGCATGAAAGCTATCAAGCAAGAGCTACCGGATGACCCCGTAGAGTTGCAAAGAATGCACGAGGTTGTTTATGCGCACATCAAATGTATGATCAGTGCATGCATGCATGTCCATGTAAAACCCATGGGGCATGAGACTGACCTGCCTGCAGGTGCTTCTTTCTATGTCAGCAGCTGTGGAGGATAAAGTCCCTGAAGCACCAGCCAGGTCTAATTCAACAGCCACTACAATCCCAGCAACCAGGGAACAACTAGAAGCTCTTGGTAGGAAGGTGCTGTAGGGTGATGAACAGTTTTGAAAAAATGCATGCATATTATCTTGCCTTTTGGAACGCTACCGTCTTTAGGTGACTACTTCATCTGGATCGCCTACACCTGTGCTTGAGGAATGTGGTGGTGTTAGGCGTTTGCCTGTCGCCACTGCTGTAAAGGCAGCGCCTGTTGTGCCCTGTCGGGCCATAGTTGCTCAAGTGGCTCGCCCTTGCAAGACTCTTATTATGGAAGGGAGGCCTGTACCTTCACAGACCCCGCAACCCAGCAAGAGACTTCAGCCGCACCCAGCAGAAAACACTGCCGCCAAGATCGCCCGCTTGTGCGCCCCCCCGGTGCCAAAAGCTAAGGCTTGCAGTCCTTTGGCCCCAGTCGTCCGCTCTTTGGAGCGGGAGTTTGACAATGTTAGTGATGGAAAGGGCAACCATGAACCGGGATCCAGCTTGGTATTTTCACAGCCGCTCCATTCGGCAGGCCCCTATGTTGACTTTACTTCATCTCCGGCTCAATCCATTGCCCCATCGAAAGCCCCACCAAAAGCTCCTCCAACCCCGTCAGTGGCCCCATCAGTACCACCGTCCGAACCAGAAGAGGCTGCTTCCAAGGATTCTGGTCCGCACTAACGTTTCATACTGAAAGAATGCAATGATGGGACATGTTGCTGAAGTGCCCTTTAGGAGAGGAAGATGCAATTGCTATATGATGTCTTGATGAAGCAGCAAAACCAAATCAGTGAACTGCTGAAGACTACGACATCTTCTGATACATTGCGGAAAGACGTTGAGGAAACCCAAAGAGCTGCCATGGACCAAATGCAACTTATGGGTTTGAATCCGGGCCAGGTGGGGGAAATACATGGAGGGGGCTTGTGCAACAGGTTCTCTTCGCATGCCGGCAGTATGTATATGAACTCACGTGCATGGACGTGCATATACCCGTGGTGCACAGGCCCCGATGCAATCCGACTCCAAATCTGCCGACGCGCCACTGGAGCCGGCTGGACCAGGGACAGCTGGCTCGGAGGCTGCGCAGGAAGCGTAGGAGGCAGAAGAGGAGGAGTTGCCTGCCGTCTTGCATGTTTCCACCATGACCAAATATGAAAAGGACAAGGTGAGACGTGTTGTGACTCCCAAGTCCACTACTGGTAGGCTTGAGGTGCCTAGAGATATCTATGACTTGTGGCAAACTGAGAAGGGCAAGGAGAAGCTTCTCAACATGTGGTGCAAAAGTGGTGGTGTAAAGGCACGGTCTCAATACGACGACTTTTGTGTAATTATGTGCGCATGGTTCATGCTAGTTTAAAGGCTGTGACTTGATAACAAACCATGCCTGCATGGAGATCATCTTCCTGCAGCGTGTGGAGATCCTGTCGACAACCACCAAGTCCAAGAAGATTGAGGTGAAGGGTGGATTCTATAGCGAGGAAGATATGCGTACCGAACTGGGGTATTCACCGATGCCTAGCTGCAGTCTAAATAGTGGGGATAGCTGGTGATCACACGCAAGTCTTTTTGTGGCAAGCATGGCTGTCAGGAAATGGTTGCATGAATTCCGTTCCCCATCGAACCAACCAAGGGAGCGGATAGAAAAGATCAAGAAGTGGGCGACGGCGCGGAAGCTGGTCAGGCTTGTTTCTACCATTTCATTTTTGAAGCTTCGCTATTCTTTTGTAAGGTAGACGCTGATTGGACCTGTGTGCTGTGAGTTTTCGTGATGGTGCAGGCTATGTGAGTATGACCCAGACACCCTCGAATACTGGGTGAATATCCGGACGTCTGGGGTCTTGTCGCGTGAAGACCTGCAGAAACTGTCTGTGAGTCAAACGCATGAGGGTGAGGGTAATGGTCTTCCCGACGTTGGGCCTTTGGACGTGGATGGTGTTGGGGCTTTTGCGGATCAGCATGTCCCAGCTGACATCGCTATGGAAGGAGACAACAGGTTGGCTGCTTCTTTGCAGCATACTTTCTCTAGCCAACCTCCACTCTTTTCTTGAGTTTGTGCAAACATGGCCTTACCATTTTCAAAAGGCTTGCTGCAGCATGCATCCATGTGTGTCTATACTTGCCACTCTTCCAAGCTCATTGCAGAGTTATAAATCTGCTGAGGCCAAATCAAAATTGGCATTGTATTTGAAGAACACGTTGAAGAGCAAAACAGCTTTGTGTGGCATAGCTGACAAGATCACGGAGCTGGCCAAAAACGATGCAGCCTGTAAAACGTCCCTCAGCAGCCCTGTCCTGGTGCACCTCTGCTGACTTTCGCTTTGCTGCGACGCTGCCAAGGACCTTGGACAAGCTCCGCAAGATCACCAATGAGATGGATAACGCTTATGAAAAACTTGCGGACTACCAAGCCGAGGGGGAAACATTGGGCTTTTCAGAAGAGTTGCTCAGATGCTGTAATACATATATCATGGTGTTAGACATTTTGTCGCATTATTTAGTAGCGTAATGGCTACCATGGCCAGCTTGAGGCTCAACAAGAACCTGGAGACGGTCTTCCAAGACTTGACCAAGCTGAGCCTTGAATTACATTAATTTTGGTGGCCAAGAACACGCCCAGCTTCTGTCTTGCTTCTCCCACTCCGATTCATGTCCTTTGCGGCCATGCAGCCCAGGATGTCGAAGGCAACGACATCTCAAGCAGCAGCCCAGTCGGAACCCAAGATGTCCTAGATGCAGGTGCTCTTGGTCTAAGACAGTCTAGGAGCTGTGTGGTCCAAGGCATTTTGTGGCGAAAGCCAAAAAAGCCCGAAAGGTCAAGAGTGAGTGAAGTGATATAATTTACGCTGTAGCTTTGCCAGTGAAAGTTGGCATCTGGGGTTTAAGTCCGGGAACAGGCATGTGAAAGCATGCAGAGCCTGTGACTGCAACTCATCGCTGATCTTGGGGAGAAAATGCCAATGGTCTACGCTATCTTTGGTGCTTTTTCCACATCCTTATGCTGCATTTTGTTAAATAGCTTCTGTACGGACAAAATGTCATATTCAACATTTAAAGGCAACATGTGTGCTTGGCCAGGCAATCCTGCGCAGCTGAGCGACACCGTCCACCACATCGCAAAGCTCTATGCAAAGGGCGCTCCATGGATCGCAAAGCCCATGGCATTTGTGGTGGTGTAACCCGGGAGTCACGGGCGTGCTTTGTGCTTCTTAAGGGTTTGTTTGTGACAGCTTGCTTTCGGCAAGTTGCTGGGTTTTGATCCTTATCCCTCTTTCCGAATTGTTTTTCCCAAACAAACGCTCATCAGTTACCGTTCAACGGCATATCCGCAAGTGGGTATCTGCAAGTGGGTGGTTCAACCATCGTCTACTAGTCTAGAGGTTGACAGGCTGTTCGAGGCTGGTTCGTTCTCGGTCGTTTCGATATTGAATTTTACTTGTGGACTTGAAACCGACAGTCACACACCACTGCCTCTCCATGTGGGTACTTTAGGCCATACACCGTTAGCTTTGGCTAACTTCTCCGGGCGACTGATCATACGTACTACTAAATTCCCACTTGATTGTGCGTCGCGCATATACATCCTACGATGTCCTCATTTGCCACGCCTGTATCGAGAGAATAGGGTTTTGTTTGGGCCGATCTAAGGCTACTGCATTGGATTGTGTGGAGGAAGCCAAAGCAGCTTCTAGCAAAGATAGCTGCCGCGTTTTGCAAGAGATTGCCAAGGCTAGTCTACAAAGCGCAGATGAACCTTTGTTTCAAGCCTTGAGCAAAAGTGGGTTAGCTGTCAACTTCCCAACAGTCAGCCTTCAGTTGGACAATGCTTTGTCCTACCCATGCTTGCCACCCAAAGAACAACTTGAAGAAATGGCCGCACAGGGATGCTTTCACAAGGTGCTGGGTGTTCCCGTCGCTTACACGGACTATGTTTTACCAAAGTTCTGGGAGAAGTACAAAAATATATATCCTCATCACAGTATATTTTCCGAGCAGGGACTTGACTACACTCATCTCCTTCCATTTTATCTTCATGGTGATGGAGGACGAACATTCAAGAAGGACCCCATCCTAATACTGAGCATGTTCAGTGCATTCGGGGAGGGAACAGCCAAGAACGCGACTGACCTTCAGCCGATGAAGCGACCACGGATGGACACATCTGCGTGCTCGAGTGGACACATCGCGTATGAACCGGGGGTAAATTTGCTTGGCAGCACTTTGCCAAACAGGTTCCTTTTTACAGCTATCAAATGTGAGCTGTATAAAGACAAGCGCGAGAGGTTTCAAAGTTTACTGCATACATGGGGTTGCTACTTGCACAAGCTCTTCCAAGAAGGCTTCTCAGTGAACGGTGAAAACTGGCGAGTAGCAATCCTTGGTCTCACGGGGGACGCCCCGTTCCTTCGCGAAGCAGGGAACCACACAAGGAGCTTCAGCAATGTCGGCAAGTCTTCTGAAGAGAGTGCAAATCTCAAGGGTTGCTGTTGGCTTTGTGGAGCGGGAAAATCGAATGGGCCTCCCTTCGAAGACTTGCGGATCACGGCTGCAGCTGCCTGGACGGGCACCGTCGGTCCAAGCAACGAGCTCCCTTGGTCCACTCCCGGCCCCTTGCTGGAGTATCTTCCCTTGAACGAGCGAGACTTAGCTTCCTTTTATCGCCCAGACTTATTTCACATTTTTCATGCCGGTGTTGGAAAAGACTTCGGCGCAAGTGCGCTGATCTACGTGATGAAGCTGGCATACAAGCGTAGACCAATACAGTTGAGCGTTGATTTGATCAATGGGGAGCTGCGGGCCTTTCTTACTGAGAACAAAGGGGAGCGACTGAACTTTGGAAAGTTTTCATTGGACATGCTGGGGTATGCCTCATCAAGGTCCTTTCCTTCAGGACATTGGAGTAAGAACATGGACACCTCAACGGTAGTCAAGTTTGTAGCGTGGCTCTGCGCCAAGAACTCAGCAGCGCATACTGGTGATACCATTTTGGAGTGTATTGCAGATGCTTGCGCTGCAATTGGCCAGTTTATGCATGTAGTGTTTGAGGCATCGTTCTTCCTCACAGAATCTGAGGGGTGGCAACTGGTTGCATCGGGTCATGCTTTTTTGTCTTGCTACGCTCGCTTGGCAAGGGAGAGTTGCAATGCTGGGCTTTGTTTATTTAAGCTCAAGCCAAAAGTCCACATGTTTGCTCACATTGTTCATACGGCTTTTGAGCAATACAAGCTTGGCACGGATCTGGTGATCAACCCGGTTGCGGAATCCACCTTCATGCTGGAAGACTTTGTGGGCAAGGTGGCGCGGCTTTCCCGTCGTGTCTCACCAAAGTTGCAAGGTGTAAAAATCATCTATCGTTACCTTGTGGCTGTGCATCAAGAGTTGCATGGCGTGAGTCGCAAGTAAAAGGCTTCTTTATTTGGCACCTTGGCTTGAAGGGACACAATCCATAGGTCTGTGCAATGTGCAAACGCACACTTTTTTTTGAAACGCCAACTTTCCCTATAAAAGCAGTCTACGATTGCTTTAAAGCAGGTGTTTCAGTATGCAGGCAGGTGTGTTTCTTCCCAGTAACGCAATCGACCTGCGTCCATTTCGAGCAAAACATGTTTTGTTGATTTTTGTATCATCACTACCCTTTCCTGAGGAGGGACGTCGAAAATGGTCAGTTACATTTTCCTATGAGGAGGGCCTCAAAAAATGTAAATACATTAACTTTGAGGTTTTTGAGGCCTCATGGGTGATTTCCTGGGAAGTGATCTCAAACATGTAAGTTACTTTGTTTGAGGCACGGTGGGGCGCTTACATTGTTTGACCCACCCCCTGAGTCTGTGTTTGTCTGGTTTTGTCTTGCTGTCTCAGGTTGCGGACAAAAGGTGAGATTTGCAGACGTCAAAAATTGTAGCTTACAAGTAGTCCATGCATCCAAACCCTCAGATTTTGCAGGGAATACCTGGGTTTATGTGAGAAAGTTCGACCTCAAAATTGTAACTTACATTTTTGCCACATGCCCAACTCGCCCGGAATTTACAAGGAACTGGGGTGTCCCCCTGAGTTAATTACATGTTTGCATACTGAAAATCACACACAAGCGACTCCACGAAGCGCAAGCAGGGGGCAAGCAACCAGGGGATCAAACAGCATTGAATATCCTTGTTCTCCTGCACAATGGAACAGGTTAGAATGACCGCTCCTTTGTTGTGTAGCATGTGGATGATCCTCTGTTATGTTTGGGTTTCGCTTTGTTGCCTTCCTTTGGGGTCTTGAGTGGGAACATGAATGTTCCTGTTTCTTGGCAGTTTGCTCTGGGTGTGTTTCCTGTTCTTCTTTGTTGATGATGACTCCGACCAACTGCTGAGCAAGGGACAAGCAAACAGGGCAACAACATAGCAGTGATTATGCTCTGCTATGTGTCGGCTTTGTTTTGGCATCCTTCCTTGTGGGTCTTGCTTTGTGTGTATTGCTGTTCTTCTTTGTTGATCATGACTCTGACCAACTGCTGTTCCAACTGCTGTTCACCCCCCCC